TGTCCTCGATTTCTTCAGTAGTTGCAGCAGCGAAAAGTTGTGTGTCGATCAAATTCTATTTCCTCCATCAATTTCAAGGACGTTTTAGAGTTGTGTAAATGCCCTCTGACCCTGTGCTGGCCTTGGCTCCTGACATGTCGCTTGTTGTTTTCTGCACCCTTTAAGCCAGGCATTAGCAAACTGTGCTCTATGCACAGTGTCTGGCCTCCCACTTGTGTTTGTAAATAAAGTTTTATTGGAACACCATCATGCCTGTTTGTTTACCTAGTGTGCATGGCTGCTCTGGCACAACCCTGACAGGGTGGAGCAGTTGTGACAGAGATTGTGTGTTTGTCCTGCAAAGCTCAAGTGAGCTACCTACTTCTGGCCCTGTTTAAGGCAAAGTGTGGCTGAAGTGGTCAGGCGGGGCCTTCTCAGTGGATGTACATTTACAGCAATTTGAGTGTGTTCAAGAGCAAGGAACTCTTTCTAATGTCAAGAGAAAAAAAATTATTCAATTCCCCAACGAAAAGAATTGTGGGTTTGGTATCTCTGGGTTGAAAAAGAAAAACATATTGATTGAAAGTCGCCATCAATTCAGTAATGCTTTTGAACGCGTGGGTTTTGGTAATTACAGTAGCATTTATGTAACGTTTTAAAAATAGTAGCACATGTGTGTGCAAGCTATTTTTGCTCTGCAGGCAAAGCTCCATGGCTGGCAGCTCAGAAGACCCCTTGGAAGGATTCTGCTGGAGGGAACTGGTACCCAAGGAACCCACTGGCTGGCTATTTTATATTCCAGGTGACTCCAGTCAGTGGCTCTCTTTTGTGATCTGGTGTTTTTTTTTCTTACTGGATGGTTTTAAAGATGAATGTAGCCTTCTCTGTGTTTATCTTTGACTCTGAGGCTTATGATGCTTTAAATGTTGAGATTTTGGGTGTACTCATGGAGATGAAGGGCCAAACACAGGAGTATGTCATTGTTTGAGTCTGGATTCTCTTGGTTGCCAGGGATGAGAGTGGGAATTTACCCTTCCCTGGAGCTGGGAAGCTCAGGAGGGAAACAGGTTTAGGTCTGGCTGGATCCAGGAGCTCCTTACTCTCGCACTCAGAGCTTCTGCTCTCTCCCTTGTCCTCCTGGCTCTTTTCTCCTGTGCTGACTTTGTTCTCAGATGGGCTTTCTTTACTTGGTGGCAGAGCCCGCTACGGTTAGCTCCAGTCTGTCCCCTGACTGGCAGAAGCCACATGTCACTTTCCTAGTTGTCCCAGGAGGAAACTGAGGACTCAGACGGACTGGACTAACTTGGGTGGGGTGCTGACCCCTCAGCAGGGACAGGCCTGCGGTGGAAGAGGGTGTCTGATCGGCTACCTGTGAGCCAGAAGCTCACCTGTGCTGCTAGGATTGGCACAAGGTTATGTCCCAAAGGAGAGTCTGGGAAGCAGCTCCCCCACCTGTGAAGGGCAGTCCCCACCCCGCCCGCTAACGCCTGCCCTTGGGCGGCCCCCAGCCCAGGGACACTTGATCATGCCTGGAGCTCACAGTGTGCAGTTGCTTTGGAGCAGATGTGGGACATCCGGAATGTGCTACGAAGGAGCCACCTGCTCTCTGGCCCAACTGCCCCACTTCCAGGGGGTCCACAGCTCGTGGGAGCAACAGCACCTTTAGAGCAGGCACGGGCCATTTCAGAGGCTGTGCCCATTGGGGTGTCGTCATCTGTCTCCTCTCCATGCTGGGTGCTGCCTGCGCCACCTGGGCATGTTGTCTTCTGGGGGAGGTGAGGTGTGGGGCGCTCAGGCAGGGAGCTGGCCTTGGTGACCCCAGGGGCGGGGTGAAGGGGTGAGGCTGCAGAGCTGGGGGTGGTGGTCGCCAGGTAGAGGCAGGCGGCTCTGGCTGCTGTAGCTGAGGTAGTTCTGATGTCAAAGAAGACAGCCTGCTCTCCCAGGGCTCCTGGCTGCCATCGGGGCTGGGGGCACCTTCTGAGTCTGCTGGTCTGGGGGCTCTGAGGCCTGCAGCTCTGTCACCCAGGAGAGGTGCTGCTCCCTTGGACAAGGGAGCCTGGATGGGGGGTGCTGGGGATGCCTGTTGAGACTGGGCTCAAGAGGGAGTAAGGAGATTCAAAACTGTGATGAGGTTTGTTTCTCTCATCAGTAAGATTCTGAAGCCAAGTTCAGGATGATTCAGGGGACTCTGTTCCCTGGAGTGCTCCCTCCTTTCCACCATTTCAAGGTTCTGGTCTTTGTCCTCATGGTCCAAGATGGCAGCTACAGGTACAACCATCTCATCTCCATTCCAGGCATCAGGATGGGGGAGCAGATGAAGATGGGTGAAGGATGTGCCCAGCAGTCTTTTAAGGATGAGTCCATGATGCTTCTCTTACTCTCCATTGGCTAGGTTTCGTCACAGGGCCCCATCTAGCTGCAAGAGAGCCCGGGAAATTCAGTCTTTATTTTAGGTTGCTAAAAATCAGGGTTCTGCTACTGAGGAAAAAGGAGAGAAAGGACCGGGGACAGCTGGTTTCCCCACTGTGGTCTGGTTTGTGGGGACAGCCTCAGCAGGTGTGGGTTGACTGGGGAACAGAGTGAGCGCCCGGCTGCACGGAGTTTGAATGCGTGATCTCACTCTGCCAGGTCCTGGGCGGTGGAGTTTTTCTGGTAAATACAAGGAGCCTGGCTGATGCAGGACACTCTCTGTCAAAGACATAAATGTGGTTTTAGAAATGCTACCAATGGGTCTAAGTTCCTTTTTAATCCCCTGGTTTCCCATAAGGTAGCCATTCAGCAGCTCGTGGAAATGGATCAGAAACCTCTTTTTGTACATCCACACCCGTCTTTTCCCCAGTGTCCATGGCCACCTCTCCTGGGGCACAGAACATGACCTCCTCCAGGTGGACAAGGTGTGTTGGTGATTTCCTCTGTGTCCTGAGGTCAGGACCCTAAAAGCCGAAAGGCTTCAGGAGCAGTGGTGGGTGGAGGGGAGCCCAGCATCTCCCCCACTGAGGGCGGCCAGAGTGTGGCTGAGCGGTGGCAGAGAAAGAGCTGACATGTGAGGGTGTGGAGTCACAGGACACCGGGAGCCAGTGACAGCTGGGGGTGGAGAAGGGCACCGTAGGGGGGTGGTCTGTACCCTGCATCCAGGCCTCCGGCCCAGGGTGCTGGTCCTCAAGGGTAGGGCCAGCCAGTGCTTCCCAAGTGCTGTGCCCACTGGTTCTGGCGGGTGATTCCCAGAGGCCTTGGAGTGCCAGCCTTTGGATTCATGGTATTTCTTCATGTTCTGGAAGTTTCCATTGAACAACAGGGACATCCTCCCAGTTCTCCAGTGTGTGCCTCTGCAGCTTTCAACGCACACATACACGCACACACATTTTTAATGCAGAGGGTTCTCTAAAAAGCACTGGGAATTTATGATGAAAATTTTATTTCTTTATGATATTTTTTCCCTCTCCACCCACCACACCCCCACGCCCGGCCCAGTTAAGCAGTTTTCTTTTAGATTTAGGGGCCGAGTGGCTGGGAGGGTCGGCATAGTCTAAAGTGGCCTTGTCTTCCTGGGGGACCAACTTTCCTGTCGTGGCAGATCATTCCTAGGGGTAAGAACACCATTGCCTCAGGTGGCCCAGGGTAACACGAAGGAGGAAAGGGCCCGAACTTCTTCCTCGGTCCTCTCGGTCCTTCGGGCTCCCTCCTTCCTCTCATTCCCCATCTTTTCCTGCAAGTTCTAGACAAGCATCAGAGGCAGGGAATGAGCTGCTCCGGACCACTGCGGCTTCACGTCGCGGGCTGCTTCATTCTAGCTGTTTCTCTGCAGCTGCACTTCCCTGCTAACTTTTCCACCGCAGACCCCAAGGGCTGTGCTCAGGTGGCCTCCTGCCTGGGTTTCAGCCCCAGCTTCTGTCTAGCTCTGTGACCTGTAGGTGAGTTACTTCTCTGGCCTGGGGCACTTCCATCTGTAAGTGTGGAGAGCAGCCCTGCCCCTTGAGATGCTGTGAGTCCTCTTCTCATTCAGCCCAGTGTTTGATGAGCACCTACTGTGTGCCTGGTGCTCATTTGTGTGGTTTTGCTCATGTCTTCTCCAACGTCATTTCATATCCAAATCCTGTCATCTGATGGTGGCGATTTTCCATTCTCTCTCTTTCGGGGAAACCACGTCTGCCTGCTCTGAAGCCCCGAGGTTTGACCATGCCTAACTTTCTCCTTCTCCCAGGGTGGGCTCATGACCTGACCAATCAGAGCAGCCCATCTCTCGGGCCTCAAGGATTGGATGAGGGCTGAGCACGTGACAGTGGTTGGGCCAATGGGCGCCTGCCCTGGGATGTGTGCGGCAGCCCTGCGGAGTATGCAGCCTGGGCGAGGCTCGTTCTGAGACGCGAGGCGGAGCTGTACCCAGCACCCACCAGGGGTTCAGGGAAGGCTGCCACACCACAGCCTCTCCACAGGTTGCAGTGGGGGCCTGGGGCTTGTCTGAAAGCTAGCCGGGGAGGGGTGGCTTCTGCGGTCACCACCTGGTGGCAGGACTTGCTTTGCCTGTGCTGGGCTCTTGCTCCTTCCTGCTGACTGATGGCTGAGTCTGCCTCAGTTCTGGCCTAGGTCTGTCCATGTACTGGTCCCTTCATCAAAGCTAGTAAGTGACATGCTCCTAGAGCTAGTCACAGAGATGACGTCCTCCAGTAGGGTCAAGGGAGTTGCTCAGGGGAGCGGGCTCAAGGCTGCGAATGCCATGCTGGAGGCTTCTCGGGAGCTGTCAGCCTTGGGGACGCCTAAGCACGCAGCAGAGGGGCCAGAGCTGGAAGGGGGTGGGGCTTCCTGGCCTAAGCACCCCAGACAGCTGTTCTGATGGGAACTTGCCCGTAAACCCCGAAGAACACGACGTTCTTGCTTGTTAATGTGCTCTTGCTGCCTGGGTCAGATGCAGCCCAGGGAAGGGGTCTCAGAGCCCTGCCCAGTAGTGCCCCCCCCCCCGCCCCGCAGAGTGCGTGCTTCCCCTTCCCTGCTTCCTTCCAGTGCTGAAGGCTGCACAGAGTAGATCCATCTGCCAGGAATTACTGATGAGAGAGACTCTCACGTGCCCCTTCCCCTGCCAATCAAAAGTGTTTCTGTCTTCTGCACCTGCCTGGGGGTGGGAGGGGGGTTGGTAGTGCTGCGGAACGTCAGTCAACCGTCTTGTTGGTGCTGCCCCCCAGAGGCAGTGCTAGGTGGCACATGTGGGTCTCAGTACCTGCGCAGCTTTGGGGGAATCCTGTCCACAGAGGGGCGAGTCTCAAGTAGCAGAACTGACCAGAGGGGCTGCTTACCCGACAGCTTTAAAATTTTAGAGTTTAGTTGATTACTTTTATGCAGCTTGCTGCATTTGAACATTTATTTAGAATCAGTATATTTATTTTTAGTGATATGCTTTAACAACTGTTTTTAGGGCCAGTAGAATTTTATTGCCTCTCCAGTCTCCAGTGATGCCAGTTTATATGAAGTTCCATGGTTTTGGCCTGTATGTACCTGCATTTCTTATAGACAGGGTCTGCATCAGCCAAGGTCCAAGCAGGAGAGCAAACCCATGCAGTGATTTGAAGAGGAAAACTAATGTCAGGAACTGTAAACTCTGATAGGGGGTTGGCATGATAAGGCATCGATTAGTAAGGAGTAAAGCTAACTTTAAGGAAGAAATGACCAGATACGAGGGGCAGCCTGCTTCTAGGGCTGGGACACAGCAGTCATCTTGGTGGCCTTTGATGGGTTCCCCGGGTCACTGTAGTCATGATGACAGCCATGGTTTATTGAGGGCACTATGTGCCAGGCTGTGTCCTGACCCCTTCTGTGGAGTATTTAGCTCCACCCTACAGATCCGACCCTGTGGGAAATTGTGACTCCGTGATTGGCCCTGCTGGGAGGGCGGAGTAGCTGGCACCTGGTCTTTCCTTGGTCTCCATGTGGTGGCTCTGGAGTGGCCTTCTGCTCAATGGAGGCTCTGGGCTTGTGTGTGGCTGGAGGGGGGTGGCCTGTGAGGCACCCCTCCCTGTGTGTGATCCTCTGTGGCAGCCCAAGCAGAAGCCTGGTGAGCTGGGCTCCAGGTCTTGATCAGAGGCCTTCAGTGCCATCCCAGAGTGTTGGAGGAGTGTGCAGGTGGCAGGGTCCTCAGCAAGGGCTTGTCCTCGAGTCCCCAGGACCCCTCTGACCCACCTGTCTGGTCCAGGGAGGGGGTGGGGAGAATGGGGTTTCTTGGCTCCCGAGTTCATTAGGAAGGCTGCGAGTCGGGGGATGGAGGGTGGACCGCTCACCCCAACACAGTCCTTTTTCTTTGTCCCCTTAGTTTTTCCTGTATTAATGTGGGTCTCCTGGTTCTCCTCAGAGGCATCAGGAGTCCCAGGGCCCTTTTCTAGGGAGGGGCTTGGGGTCTGCGATGTGACATGGCCCACATGTCACATGTCACATCATGGTCTCTGGTCTGACTCTGGCCTTGAGGCTTGGTGTGACCATCTGGTCCTGGCCAGTGTGGTGTCCCATGCTCAGCTGTGCGGGGCCACGAGCCATAAGCCTCCGTTGTCTTGTGACTTATCCTGGCTGTGTCTTCAGTGCCTACACGCTGGGTACCCCTTGTGCCCCCCCTTGCTAATTCGCTTGACTCTCCCATGAGGGATTCATCTTGACTGCTAGCATTCTGTGACAGTGATGGCTCTGCCGTCGTCGAGGTGAGAAACGTGAATTGGAATATTAATCCCCGGGGCTCAGGCGCGTGGTTCCTGTGCCAAGCCATGATGGACGAGGGAGATGCAGTGGCCTCCTTCCTCCTCTGCTTCCTCCAGCGGTTCTTGGGGATGTGAGCAGGGTTTGGTGGTCCTTGTCACCCATCTGGCTCTCTGGCAGGTCCTGGCCTGCTGCACCTTGTGCCCACGGGGAAAAGAGAATTGGCTGGAACCCGCTCTTATGGTTGGTGTGGCGCAGGGACGTTAGCTGTCCAGTCAGCCAGTGATTTAATAATCTCTGAGCCAATATTTAAGAACTGGAAGATTTAATATAAAAATTTGGATCTTCTCTGAAGAGCAGCAGGGCTGGTAGCTCTGGCCCTATCTCCAGAGTGACCATGGTCTGAAGGAGTGGAGGCCCACCCTCCAGACGTGTTCCCCAGGCCACTCGGTGGACGTTCAGCTGGACACAACTGCGTGCCAGGCCTGATGGAGGTGCTGTTGGGGAGCTGGCGGGCCATGTATTAGTGTCACTTGTTTCTGTTCGGGCATAGTCCTGCTGACTAGTGCCCTGCAGTAGTGCTTTCTGTGATGACAGGGACGCTTTGCACCCCTTGGCCAATCATGTTCACTCACCATGCGTTGGTATTGAGTGATTGAAGCATGGCCAGTGTGACTGAGGAGCTGGATTTTGTCACTGTAGTGCCACATGCCACTTTAGCCACATTATGGGTTCAGTCTGCCCGCCAGGCCTGTTCTGGGTGCTGTGCGGCATCACCCCCGGCTCTGGGGCCTTTGCGTCTTGCAAACTGAATCCCGCCCCTGCCCCTCCATTCCGCCCCGTCCATGAGGTGGAAGGTAAGGGGACTCACACCCGCCCGTCCAGTCCTTCTGTGGGTGGCTTATGTCACTTCATTCCTGTTGCAGAAGGTGTCACTGTTTCCTCCCTTTTGAAGTCCTCCCATTGGGCAGTGAATTTTTAATGTCATTTCAAGTCCATTAACATATTTAAATCTCCGTGCATTTGAAGGCCCAGGCTGGCTAGGGCTGCCTGTCCAACAGCGGGTTCCAGACGTCTGGCCTCAGCCCCCCTCCTCTGAGAATCCAGTCTTCCCACCCAACAGGTGGCGCAGCCGAGTCACGTGACTTGAGGAGAGCCAGAAGCTTGGACGGGGTCCTCCTGGGTGCTCAGCTGGCCGTCCAGTGTGACCGCAGCAGGCTGCGCGGGGTGGGTGATGCCAGGTTAGATGGGGTGGGCGGCTGGCAGGACTCACACGGATCTTCATGCTGGGGGAATGATTGGACTTAAAAAATAATCAGCTGCCAGGTGAACCTCCCATAGCATGAGTCAGTCACTGGAAAGCGCCCCGTCCATGGGCGGTCAGCATAGGGACAGCTGCGTGCTACTGCCTGCTTTTGAAATTACAAAATATTCCCATCACCTGGGAAGGAAACCGTGTGGCCCCCGGCCAGTTCCAGCGACTGCCACCCTGCTGTCTGTGTCTGTGACCTGGCCTGGTGGCCACTCCTGTAGATGGTGTCACCCTGCATGTGGCCTGGGGCCTGGCTACCCTCCCTGAGGCTCTTCTTCATGGGTGAGCCCTGCTCTGCGGGGTACCAGGGCCTGGGTCCTGTCTGATGCAGTGAGCAGGTGCAGGGTCTTTGGCAGGGTCTTTCTGAGGTGGCAGTGTGTCGGAGGGAGCCCGTCCCTGGCTCCCATTGCTGGTACACATGAAGCCCTTTCATCCCAGGGCAGGGCTGTCCCGACTCACCGGGTCACCTTGTGGTCAGAGGCCTGGGACTCGAGGGGGAGCCCCTCGTCCTTCATCCCATGGACATAGGCGTCTCCTCCCAGACCACCAGTGAGGCTGGCTGTGGGGGCTGGTGGCCCAGGGCAGCTCAGTGTCTCTAGGTGGGCTGTCCCCGGGTGGGCTTGCTGGACGCCTTTGTCCCAGCCCTGCAGAGCAGATGTTGCCAGAGGCAGGAGCCGCAGTGCTTCCCTGGGACAGAGCCCTGGCCACCCCATGCTGGGCCCTGGGGAGGAGGGCGTGGGCTCCAATAGCTGGGCCAGGAGAGGGACATGGCACAAGCCTGGAGGCTGAGTTCCAGGCAGGGCCCTCAGCCTGCCCGCCTTTCCCTGGTGACGCGCTGCTGGCCTTCTTAGCTGGCCGGCTCCTCTGTCCCCACCTACAGCACCCGTGGCTCTTCCAGGCTTCTTGCTGGCGGATGAGCGCAGGATGCCTTCTGCGTTCCTGCGTGGCCTCCTCTGGCCCTTCACTTGTCCATCCTGCCTGGGAATTGGTGGCTCAGCCCCTGCCCACCCCTTTGTGAACTGCCTGGACTATGTGTCACTGACGGGCACTGGTAGCCTGAGACAGGACACAGCCCACACATGACCGTTGGAACAGGAGAGGGAACGTGCGGGTGCAGTCACCTTTCTTCTCTCCTCGGGGACCCAAGGCTTCTCTGTAGCAGGTCCTTTGATGTGACATGGAGGGGGCTCCGAGCTTTGATCCTGACTCGCGGTTGGCTTTGTTTTGCTTTGTGTTTGGGTGGCAGGGGCCACCTCCTGACCCAGAGTGCCCCTGCTCTGCTGCCTGCTCGATCACCTGTGAGGGAGGGAGAGCCTTTGAATACTGGTGCCCGGGAAGAGTCTCTATGGGTGTCACCCGGGTCCTTTTGCTCCCATTATGTTTTTGTTTTGTTCTGGTTTCGCAGTGCTGGGGACGAAACCCAGGGCCACGCGCGTGCGAGGCCAACGCTGTCCCACTGAGCCCCACCCCAGCTTCCCGGGCCCTTTTTGTCTTATCTCTCATGTATTTAGAATCCTTTTTAATGCCTTGATAATTTTGGGTGAGCTAGAAAATAAAGCCAAAAGGTGACGGAGACTCTTTTTAGCTAGTAGGTGCCACCACTTTAAATTTGTCTTAAAAATTATTAAACTCACAGAACACAAGGGGGTTCTAATACTAATAAAAACTAATAATAGTTTTGGGGGGTCATGGGTACCAGAGATTGAACCCGATTGAACCCAGGGCCTCTCGGCCACTGAGACACCTCCCCAGCCCTAGTGTGTATTTTATTTAGAGACAGGGCCTCACTGAGTTGCTTAGGCCCTTGCTTAGTTGCTGAGGCTGGCTTTGAACTCACGATCCTCCTGCCTCAGCCTTCCGTGCATCACCGTGCCTGGCCACAAGGATCCATTTTAATGTGTGGCTCGGTGGTGTTCGGGGGACCTTGAGTGTTCTGGGCCCTCGCCTCGTCTAGTGTGTGAGCACTGTAGTCCTCACACAGGAGCCCTGGCCCCTACTGGTCACTCCCAGTCCCGCCTCCTGGCCCCAGGCAGCCCCCTGTTCTGGACATTTCCTGTCAATGGAGTCAGGGCGTCTGCGTGACTGTTTGTGCCTAGTTTCTGTCACTTAGCGCAGGTTTGAAGGCTTGTCCAGATTGCAGTGTCCACAGTGCACCATTCCTCTTGTGGCTGAGCCACACCCTGTGGCATGGACAGATGCTCTTGTTCATTGGTCATCTGCTGGTGGACACAGTGTCCACTGGGTGGCTGCCATGAGTGCTGGGGCTGAGAACCCTCGTGCACTGTGTTTGAGCTCCTGCTTTTGTCCTGGGGTGACTTGGCTACTTTTGCAAAGCTCCACATGTGACTCTTGTGGGCCGCCAACCTGCGGACCGCTGGCTCTCTGGTCCCTGATTTTGGAGCCCCGGGAGGACTGTGTTCAGGCTGTGGCGTCGAGAGGTTGCTCGAGCTGCCTGACCGTGGAGTCCCCCAGCTGGGACACCCTGAAGAACCATTCTGTTTGGTTCTTCTGTACTGGCCACTGTGTGAAGGGAGCCCCTTTGAACCCTGGGGGAACTGCATATCTCACACAACTGGCTTTCCTCATGGTAGGCTGAGCCCCCGAGGCCAGGCCACACCAGTGCACCCCTGCTCCCTGCTCCTGCGTGGAGAGGGGCTCTCGGTCTACTTTCTGGAACATCAGAGGCTGGTTGCCCTTAGGAGAGCTAGTTCATCCACCCAACCGAGTGGGTGAGTTCGTCATGTGACGAGCGCTGATTGACACTCACCCTGTGCCAGTGTGCGTCAGTGCTGGGGAGAGGAAAGACAACACTGCTGTCAATGAGCGCTCTGTCTACTGGGGCGACATTTAGGCTCTCAGACTGAGGGGTGGTTTCCAGAGGGATGTCAGGAAATGTCAGTTCCAATGACAGACACCCAAGTCGAACTGGCATGACTCGAAGAAAACGTCTTTTGGTTTATGTAACTTATGCAAAGTCCTCCTAGGCTTCAGGTGCGGCTGGATCCAGTGCTCCATGGCTACTGTCAGGACTCAGTTTCCCTCCTTGGGTCTCAAGGCTAGTTTCTTCTTAGACATGCTCTTCTTCAAAGACAGCAGATAGACAGACTCACCCTTCCAGCAGAGCAGCTGCAGCAGGAACAACAAAACAACAAAACATATCTTTCCTGATGACTCCAGAAAACAAGAAAAATACCAGTTCTGACTCTCACTGGCTGGGATTGGGTCATGTGACCATCCTTGACTTGATCGTGGTATGTGATTGGCCAGGCCTGGTCATGTGCCTTCTCCTGGAGCCAGGCGTCAGGGAGATCCATGCGGCTGTACCTCTTGGGTGGAGAGTGGAGGGAACTCCCCGGGGGGCAGGTAGGGGCATGGCTGCAGGAGGGGTGGCTTCTGGCTGGGCCATATCCATGGGCTTCTGCTCTAGAAGAGAGGACACAGCTGCCCTCTGTTCATATCATCCTCCTCCCGTCCCTGCTCCTGGCCTCTGTCCCCTGGGGCTGCACCACCCTCCCGTACCCTGCTGTGTCTTTGGCACCTGCTCCTGGCCTCCTGCATCCTCAACCCAGAGGCATGGCCTGTGCTTTCTTTGCAGACCTCTGTGTCCGTCCTCAGGCCTCTGCGTCCCTGACTCCTGCCTGTTTCTGCAAACACCCTGTGGTCCCCAGGTGCACCTGGACCTCGGGCATCCCTGTCCCCAGGGCCTGGCCTGCTCACCTATAGGTCACATACGCAGTCTCAGGGACCAGGGTGCAGATGGCCTTGGGGCTCTGATGCTGCCTCTCCCGGCCGTCTTTGTCCACTCCTCAGAAGAACCCGCCTTGACCGCTGAGCTTGGGTGTCCCGGGAGCCGTGGTGTCACCTGGCTGCCTTAGTTAGATGCCAGACAGGGAGGGTTAACAGCAGGGACATGTCCTCCTGTCCTGGAGGCTGAGTCTGCCACCAGAGGGCCAGCGTGGCCAGTGTTGGAGAGGGCCCTTCCCGGTGGCTGACAGCAGCCTTCTCACTGTGTCCTCGTGTGGCAGGTGGGGAGAGGAGGCTTGGAGGGAGCTCTGCCATGGCTTTTCCCATAAGAACACCTATCCTGCCAGATCAAGGACCCACACGAGACTTAACCTGTCACCTCCGCGGAGGCCCCATCTCCACAGACTCTCCCACCGGGGCTTCGACACCAACCTTTCCCATGACGTGCCTGCCTCCCTTCAGCGCCTCCCTTTCCGCCTCCGCCCCGGGCCTCCCCATCTTTGCCCAGCCACGTACTGGTTCTTTGCCCTGCAGCGCAAATTGTTGAAGGTGTTTGAAGAAAGGTTGCCGGTAACAGGCCATTGATTGACTCCTGAGAAGGAGTCACGGATTCCCCTTCTGGGTTGGAATGGGGGGGCACAGGGACCCTCCTCCTGCCCCTGGCTGTGGGATCCACAGATGCTTCACCGCCTGTGTGGTGCAACTGGGGCCCGGCCCGGCCGCTGGCTGCCATTCTGGCACTTGCTGGAGCCCTGAGCTCACAGATGCTTCCCCCTGATGCCGGCTTGTAATGAAGATGCAACTTGCCACTCTGACACGATGGAGCCCTAAGTTCATCGGAAGAGTTCTTCATCTGCATTGTGTAATTAGCGACATATGATGCTTGTATCAGCTCAATTAAAAGTCATGGTGATTAATATGGATATCAAAGCAGAACCATAAATCAACAGATTCAGGGCGCGGGAGTTCACGGCGGTGAGGCAGAAAGCCAGCCAGAGGGCGCTTTGGAAGGGGGCTTCCATGCAGCCTGGCAGCGCGGGGGAGAAGGGCCAGGTGGGCCAGGGCACGGCTGGTCACTCACCTCCCTGAACCCCAGTTTCCTCTTCTTAAAAACGGGGCACTGACACCTCCCCTCAGGGCGTGCCCCCCATCCTCTCCTCTGGGATGGGCATGACCTATCAAAATGAAAACCACCCGTACCTGGCACCCAGCAATCCCGCGCTGAGCCAGTGTCACCCGGATACGTGCCCATACGTGCCAGCTGTCTGAGTAGCTGCAGGGATGGTTCCTGGGAGAGGGTAGGGGACAGCCTGGTGTGATTCAATAAATGAGGACACGTTCTTGCAGGAGACATGGGCACCTGCCGAACAAGGGAGGCGCCCACTCTGTGTGACGGGGACCTGCCAGGTGTGCCGTCCAGGGGATGATGGGGTAGTGCGCAGACGGAAGAGACACATACTTACAGATGTGTGGGGAGCTCCCCAGGGTTCCCACGGAACTGGCCACGTGGGTCACCTCCTGGGAGGGCCTGGGAAGCAGGACAAGGAGAGGCAGGGACTGAACTTTCACTCTGTACTTTGAAATTCGTGTGCCAGGCACATTTATTGTTTATTTAAATGATTTCATTGAAAAACATGTAAAAGAGGGAAAAAGGCAACTTCCCAGTCCCCCTTTCCCACCCCCAGGATGAGCATCTCGGCTTATTTAATACTCTTCACAAATTCTGTCACGGAGGCTCCGAGAGCCTTTGGAGCTGTTTTTCTTCGTGGTGGAACCATGAAGTTTTGTACCCGCTCCCAGATCTCCAGAGCGGGAATGTCTGCAAATCTCCAAAGCCCACGCGTGGCTCGGGTGGGAGAGAAGGCACAGTCCCCAGACGGTATCCCTCACTGTCAGCTGTGACTCGGATTTGGCCGCAGACCAAGATTGTGACTACAAAAGGTCAGCGTGAGCAATTCTGTCGCCCCTGCAGCTGGGCCACCGTGGACCCCAACCCCGGGATGAAGCTGGACGGCCCCTTCTGGTCCCTGATCCGAGCAAGACAGATGCCTGGGCCAGGGTGGGGGCACCAGGTCGTTCTCGCCGGAGCTCCACCCCACCCCTAGGGTTCTGCCCAGGACTGAGCAGGTGGTCAAGCAGAAAACCTGCCCACCTACATTCTCAGTGGCACTGGTCACCACAGCCGAGGCGTGAGCAGCCTGTGTGTCCATCCCAGAGGCGTGGGTGACAGGACGTGGTCCAGCCACGCAGGGGAACAGTGTACTGGTACTCACTGCAGCATGGGTGGACCTGGAGGGTACTGTGCTGAGTGACAGGAACTGGATGTGAGAGGCCCCGAGCCCCGGGATTCCACTCCCATGCTGGAGTCCTGGACGTCTGGGGTCGAGTGTCCACAGCAAGTAAAGGAATGCGAGACAGGGGTCAAAGTGGGGGTGCCAGGGCTGTGGGAAGGTGATGCATGGTGGCTGCTGGAGGGGGCTGGCTCTCCTCGTGGAACTGGACAGAGGTGGCAGTTGTACCATAAGATGACCACATTCAATGCCGCTGGACTGGCCACTTTAAAATGGCTAATTTTATGTTGTGTGGATGTCACCTGCAGTTTAGAAGCAAGGGCCACCTGTGGCGAGAGGTTCTGAGCCCCCAGGTTACCTGGTCTCTGTTCCAGAGGTGCCGCTGGGATCTCCCTTTAAACATTCGCATCAGAAAAGCTGGGTTGCTGCAGAGGCCTCAGGCTGTGGTTCCATACCTAGTGCTCACCAGGAAGCAGGGAGGGAGCACCCACAGTCGGGATGGGTGCGAGCCATCTTCCAGGTGCTGTGGGGGCTGTGCTTCTTCACCGTTTGCTCTGCGCGTTGGGCCGTACAGTTGACTGTTGCTTATTTATTCTTCTTTTCCTCCTTTGGGGACTCAAGGCAGCCTTCAGAAATAAATCAGGATAGTAAGATTAAAAGAATCAGGGCACAAGGGAAATAAGAGAGCTAGATATTTAGTATAAGGCTGGGATGTGTCTATGCCAGGAATATATGCCAAGAGGTGAGTGTAAATCCAGCTCTGGGTATCCTGGCAGCCAAGGTGACTAAGAAAATAATCCCAAGACCCAGACTCTGCACAAGCATAAGGCTCTACAGAGAGCAGCAGTACTCTTGTTCCAATGTGGCCACCCAAAGTGTCTCCAGATGTGGACAGTAGTCCCTGGGGGCAGCACTGCCTGTGTGCGAGCTCTCTGGACCAGGGTGAGTGTGGCTCCTGCTCAGCCCATCCTGCTGTGTCTTCCTCTGTAGGGTCGGGCAGCAGCTGTAGGCTCTATATACCCTCCGTGGGCTGTGGACTCAGTGCAGATCCCAAGGTGACACTGCAAGTCTTGCAGGAAGTGTCAGAAAGTCGATGAAAGTGACATTGGTGAGCCGCCAGAGCCCTGGGGACCACTGAACAGTGAGAAAGGCTCTGGAAGGCTCCGAAGGCTCGGAACCGAAGTGGCTGATGCCTGAGGAGCAGGAAATCGCCAAGCTGCTAATTTAGTGGATACTTCAAAACAGAAGGATTCGAATGGCAAAGGATCAAGAGACAACCTTGAGGATGACCTTGGGGAAATGGAGGCCCCAAACACTGGAGCAAAGATGTGCTTCTTTGCAATCACCTGATGAGAGTCAAGTGAGGGGGCCTGGAGGAGGTCACTCTGGTCCATGAGGATTTCGTGGGTTGGGTTCAGTGTTTACTGTCAAGGGTTGTTTCTTGCTTTGGTCGAAGGTTCGGGCTCCAATTGCAATTATGATTTATATTTTGTGAAACAGCAGACAACAGGTTTATTTGCTATATTTTCATTTGATTTTTTAAGATACAGTCCTAGTATCAGGCCTTTCTTTTTGGCGGCAAACTTTAGTTTGTATAAATGTCACAAAGATCGCTTTCAGGGTAACTTGTGTTCTTACTGGGGAGGGGTGGACATGCATTCCTCAGCCTGAGAATGGCCCTAGGGACACCGGTTATTTGCCAAGGGACGGCAGGGCCACAATGGCCTTGAGTAAATCGCTTCTTTAAAGAAACACTCGGAGGATAGGGGCTAGGCCCACCTCTAGAATCACCTCTTAACTTCATGTCTCTGAGATATGTCCCTCTGGCATGCCTGGCCCCTGCCTGTCACCTGCTTGTGTCCTCCAGGTCTAATGGAAGGCGCAGGAGAATGGACGGCGAGGCTCCACTACAAGCTACGGGGCAGGACCAGACCTCAGGCTCTGAAGGGCCACTCCTGCAGTGGGCACTGTGTGGGGTGCCTGGTTGCCTGAGCGGGGATAGGACATTCCGGGTGGCGTGTACCACAGAGTCACCTACCCACACACTGCCCTCTGGCTCTGCAGCTAGGAAAACGCACGTGAAGAAGAGGAGGGGTTGCTCCAGAGGCGAATTCCGATTGGTTCAAGACCACGCGTCACTCAGCACCCTCCTTGCCAGTGATTGGTGCAATGGTGGCCGTGTGACCAAGTTCTGGCCAATGAGCTGGCAGAGCATGCGCACTGGAGCCTCTTTGAATTTGCCTCCCTGAGGTTAAGGGGAGTCGAGCAGGGCCTCTGCCGAGTCCCCAGTCCCTGTTTCTCTAACTCAGACGCCAGGCGCAGACTCGCTGCGGAGCCCGGCTGGAGGGGAAGCCTCGAGGGCCAGAGCTGGCGCAGGACCTGGGCCCTAGGGATGCAAATTGGGCCTGTGAAGCCGGCTTGCAACACCCGCCGCCCGGCTGTCTGCTAAGTAAATGACACGTGTCCCTGTGGCCGAGGCCACTTTTAGCTGAGGTTTCTGTTATTTCAGCCAAGTGTGTGCTGATGGGGAAGGCCACTGTTTTCGAGAAGGCTCTCTGGGAAGTTCTTTGATACTTTAATGCTCGTTTGGGGCTGCCTCTAAAACCCTCATCACTTTGCTTATTAGGAATCATCCACCCTTCTCTCCTGTGACATGTGCGTGCACTGGATTCTGGCCTGCAAAGGTCCTTGACGTCACTTGGTTCATCTCTTTTCAGCTTCCTGCCTTATGGAAGACAGTGTGAGATCTGGACTAGTCAGGAATCTTGTGATTGCTATTAAATAAATAAACCGGCTAAATAAATAAATTCTGTTTATCATCTCCCTGTCTCTCTAAGAAGTAAAATAATTTGTTGACTCTGCAATGGAAAAAAAAATTATGATAGATTTTTTTCTGGTCCTATGGCTTTAGGTATAGCTGCATCTAGGGGCTCAAACAACATCATATTGATGTTAGGGTTTTCCTCCCCTGCCCCTGGCTTTGTCTTCCTCTGTTGACTATGTTCCTAAGTAGGCTTTACGCATGTGTTATCAGAAAGGCTGCTGATGCACCCAGACTCTCATTCCCCAACCCACCCTCCGTTCTCCCAGCTTGGTGACTTCAGTGGAAAGATGGCCCTTTCAGTAGTTCATTCCTCACTAAGATTCCTGGTGAGGCCCCGTGTCCACCCCAGAACCAATCACTGTGCTCAGGGAGGTAGAAAGTGACAGCTGGCCGAGCTCTGAGTCACATGCCGGGTGGCATGGTTCTCCCTTAAGGATCAGGGCTGGGGGCGGGATGGCTCTTCCAGCTCCAGCTGGAGAAGGAGCAAGGAGAGGTGCCAGAGCCCCAGGAAGGTGACACAGCAGATGTCTCCCACCCAGCCCGAGGAGTTTGGGGAGGAGCGAAGACACTGCAGATTCCCTCTAGTTCCTTTTTTTAGTTGCTGGTTGTAGAATCTTTTGTTAAGAAGCCTCAAGCGGGAGGCCAGGGTGTAGCAGGAAGTGTGGCCGCGGGAGGGCACTGACTCGGCAACCAGGAGTTTGTGGGAGCAAGGCCCGGTGAGCACTGGAGCTGAGAGCCGCCCATGCAGGGGGCGAGGTTGAACGGCTTGTGCTTTGGTTGTGCCAAAGCTGCTTTGTGACTTGGTTAG